AATTTTCTCCAAATTTTCTTTTGATTTTTTTAAAATTGAAAAAAATAAAACTGAATCTAGTGATCTCAAAGAATATAAGCTATCTATCTAATAAGTCCACAGGCAACTTAGTGATTCCAGGCACTAAAATCCATATTGTGATGTCGGGAATTTGGCAATTCAACTGTCCTCCCTTTGTATACACTGTATTGAACATTCTAAACTTCTGCTATCATTGGTCATTTCAAACACAAATTTCCATGTTGTGGACATTTAAGCTTCTTAAAAGCTAGAAATCTAATGCAAAATAATTTGTTACTTATTTCACTCAATCATTATGCTAATCTCTGAAAAATACATATTTTTAAAAATTCACATTTTTTCTGTTGCTAAAATGTAATAATCTCTAGCATTGAAAACATAATAATCACATATTTGGGCTATTTTAGTTTTTGATACCACAGATAAAAAGTGGGAATAGTATTAACGAAAATTTTTCATCACCATTCTCTGAATGAGAACATTCTCAATTGTTTGAATGCTCAAAGAGGGCCAAAATTTTGGTTCATTCAAGGATTTCCATGTGGAAGTTTTCTTCAATTATTCTAGAATAAAACTGTTCTTTAGACATAAGTTCTCCTAAGACAATTAGTGTTGTCTTATTAGTTTGATAACTTTTTCATTGTTTGTTGAAATTCCTTAAAAATCAGGCAATATTTTTTAAAGCCTTACTAAATTTAACCATTTTTTAAATTTAAAACTCATTTAGAGCATTCTTCACCTACACAACTGCAAGTATTGCAATAGTACATGTCCTGACTAGAGCAAAAAAGTTTGGATTACTTTCCCACTTCCAGAAGCACAAAAGGAATTTATAAATATTTTGCACATTCTGTTGGGCACAGACTTCTGGCTGGGAAGTTTCCTTTGTAACTCAAGTTTGGCCAGTTTTCAACCTAACACTTCCTCTATCTTGCTTTGCCCTCTCCTCCCATCTTTTTCACTTGTTTCTACTATAGTTAGCTGTTTATAGTCTATACCATTAACGAGACCAACCTCAGGCAATGTAAAAAACATGACTTATTAATCTGTATATGTCATGCCCTAAGAGCAACTCAACTATCTGCTAAAAAAATGTTAAAATGGTATCTCACAGTTAAGATTTGCCATTTTTACAGGAAGCTCTTAAATTCTTTTTCTTTTCATATTTTCAGATTCAAATACCCAATTTTTAAGTGAGTCTGTATTCTACCTTCATTGCCTCTGGTCTTTGAAACTTGCTATAATGGTAATCCTCTCTATTTAGAGAGAAAACTGATTTACAGCTTCTATGTTAGACCAAGAGATTTGGTATCAATCTTTGGAAGCTCAGAGGCATTTACAAATTTAAACACTCAATAAATTTACACCACATCATGTTAGCAAAAACAAAAAGAAATCATATTGCTTGTGACTGAATCCTATCAATAACAACCAAGATGATATAATACTCTTCCCTGTTTTGTAAAGATCTAGATTTAGCCCAACAATATGGGTTTCTTTAACACATTTCAGCCACTCTTGCTGTCAAAGCGGATCAGAAGTAATGTTTCAGCACCAGCAGCAGCTGTTAAAGTGTTCTCTCTGCACTTCCCAGGAACTGTTGCTTTCCTTCTGCCCTTTTTCAGCCCTCTCTCATTCTGGTTCAGTGTTTCTTTTCTGCTCATTGCACAGTGCCTTGTCATTACTGCCTCCCTTGTTCTTTGTCTTAATGTGCCCTGGGGGTGTTCTTTCCAACAGAAATCTAGAAATTCCAGCAACAAAGTGGACACTTGGGTATCGAATAGCCAAACAGAGTTAGTGAAATGCAAGATTTCTGATCCCAGCTGCAGTCTCTGAAGACATAGAATATCTCATCTTTCAACCAAAGGTTTGTTTTTCTATGTGGTTATGGGCCCTTTCATCAGAATACAGAAGTTACATTTCTCCTGTGTGGTACTCAGAAGTCATAGCCATATATATCCACGACAGGCAAAAAGCCCAGTGAGTATATGTTCCTCCAAACTATCTGAAACTACTTCTGACATAGACACTAACCTTCAGGGAAGGAGAGTCTATACCACAGCTTTCCTAATTAAAGCACAATGTTAGACACAGCATCGTTTATTTAGCCATTTGATAGTATTTTTCCATCTGGTTAAAAAAATCCAAATGCACGTATCATAAAGATACCATTATGTCATTAGTGTCAAGAGAATGTTTAGATTCCATACATTATTACCCAACCATTAGTTATAACACTAAACAAATATTAAAAATCTTTCCTGTAAAACTGCATAGGTCTTGAGATAGGTTGTCAGTTTTTTAGTATCCAGCTTCTACACTCATCTGCCCCCAACCGTACTTAAATTACAACTCTCAAGTTTGTACTGTAAGCTTTTTTGTTGTCATTGTTTCTTACATATTGGTAAAGAAATAGTTGGTAGTTGCACCTTGTTCTTACAACCTGTCCACATATATTCTCATAAAATTCTTAGATAAATTCAAGTGTTCATAACTGACAACAGATACCTACTACTAATGAATTTGCCTAATACTAAGACCATTTTAGATTCTTACTCTTAGACTGCCTGTACATCTGTCCTTTTACTTAGCAATGCAAAAAATGATGTAGTAAAGTTAATGATCCATTAGGAAAGCAAAGTAAACTCATATAATGAGTTATGCATGTGAAAAGGCATTTTAATGAACTAAATGAGTCTGAATATTTAAACTCCAAATAACCTTCACAAATTGTTCTCTAACCTTAAAGCAATATTCCATGTACAATCCAAAATTTTAAAGGCTTTTTTCCAATGGTTTCTTCCTCCTGTAAAGCATAAAAAATGTTCTATCCAATCACTTCAAAAGTATACATAATAGAAGAACTTTAATGTAAGAAATCAATCAGAAGAAACATAAAAGAAATATATTAAAGGGTGACATTGTGCTATTAAGAAATAGTGGTTGCAAGACTTTTTTGACTAGATTGTGAAGAAACTGACAGATTTTCTGTTTGTGTTCCATAAATGATCCACTAAACAGATTCCTATGTTCATGGTAAGAAAAATAATTTTAAGTGAGGTCAGTAGGTCTGAAAACAGCATGCTTTGGCATTTTCAAGTGGTCTTAGAGGAAAATGTAATGCTATATTTATCACATTCACAAGGAATTGCAGATTCTTCTCAACTATGTGATAAACTCTCATTCGATTCCTTGACAATATCACTGACCTGCAGTCCCCCATCTTCTGCTGTAAAATTTTGGGGGGTGTGAAATCTGTCCCAAGAGATTACACCAAAAATGTCCTCCCTATGACTTCAACCAGTGTTGAGAATATTGTAAAGAAACAACTGCACTTTTTTGCCAAAGAGTATTTCTTTAAGTGTATACTACAAGGAATACCATCTACTATCAATTCTTTCAAGTTTAGACTCAATGCCTGAAACTGTTCCTCAAATAAAAATGGCTCCAGGACCTCTCAACATTTTAGTTTTTTGTTTTGTTGTTGCTGTTCTTATTCTTGTTGTTCTTTGGTGGGAGTGGGGTTTGAACTCAGGGCTTTGCTTGCAAGCAGGTTCTTGAGCTGTACTCCATCCCAACGTTTTAGCAATTCTTTACAAACTCCAGTGAATATTCTCTGGAGTTGGGTTCAGAACTCAACACCAAGAATACATGCAGGTCTGACCAGTGAACAGCAGTTAGAAATTAAGTTGATCTAGAATTCTACATATGTGAATTCAGTGAAAGATTACGTTCACTTTATTTTAGTAACCTAGATGTATCACTATTAATTTATGTTTCTCTCCTAATAAAACACTTACAGCATGTTCATCTGTCAAGGGACATTTTAAGTTTTTTAATGTTTTTTCTACAAGTGATTTCCTGGTGGTTTAGGATTTTTGATCCCTGCCTTCCATTTTTAAAAGCAGTTTACTTTGTGTCTCTGAGCATTCTTCTGTAGTTCCATCTCCCTCTAATCCTGACTTCAACTGAAAAAAATTTCCTTAAAGGACTCTTGTGATTAAACTGGATCTACCTGGGGTAATCCAGGATAATCATCTCATCTCAACATCCTGAATCTTAAATGTATGTGCTAAGTCTCTGTCGCCATACAACATAACATCTTCACTGCTTCTGGGAATTTAGGTGTACATGTCTTTGGGTGAGTGGTGGCATCATTCTGCCCACCAATAAAAATGAGGAAAGCCTTCCATTTCTCATATCATTCAACTCAATAATCAAATATGTTAGTGGAGAAAAGAACCAGGCACTTTCCACATTAGTAGCAATTTGTTACTCAACATTATTTGAGGGCTATTTTTATTTAAAATGATTCCTTCAAAATTGTTTTGCCAGAAAGGAAATTTCTGCTAATTTTATCTTTCTTTATTTTTTTCTGAAAATGAGTTGATCATCCTTATTGAATTTCCCCAACATATAATCTAAATGCAATGTTCGAGATATCAAATTAAAAGTATTTCCATACCCATATATGAGTCTTGAAGCCTTATAGCTACTCTTTCCTGAATATAGAGAGTAAACACGCCATCTCTCTTTGTTTTACTAAATGTTTTGTTTCCCTAAGCTTTGAGCACAACATCTGCAGAATGCACTCCTTCCACACACCATAGAAACACAGCCAGACAAATGGCCAGCACGTCTTGCTGTAAGGACATGTTTCTGAGGTAACCAGCAGGCAGTTTCCAAGAGGTAAAGACCACAAGTAGAAATGAATCTGAGCCACCATCCAAAATCTTTAAAGTGGTTATGGAGTTGTTAATTCTATAATGATCTCATACTGTCTGCAATTTTATCGATTTTGTTTTTCAATAGAACTGTTAAAGATTGCAATTCTAAGACAGGCGTAATGTGGGCAGATGCTCACATTCTCACACACAGTTCTGCCAAGATATTTTTACATCTTTCTTCACATAAAACAAAATGAAGACATGCGTTATAGATGCATGTTACCAGTGACTTCCCAGAAGAAGGGAGTTTATTGTATGCTCATTTCCTGGATGAAGTATTAAAATAATCCTACCTAGGAAAAATGAATTGCACTTCCAAAATAAAAGAGATTTGCTTCTAAGACACCTTATTAAACATTTTTAATTGCCAAAACCGATTGGAAGGGCAATTTGGGCAATCACTTTCAAATGTCATCCCTGCTATTTTTCATTCAGTATAGATTTCATGCCACATCTACTGGTTAAGCATCAAAATATAAAGTGCTGCAACAGCTTACACTCTGTTGATGTTCATTCAAATACTGTGCATCAAAAAAGCTCATTTCAAATATGGCATGAAAGTAAGCAAACAGCAAACTCTGAAAATACTTGAAACAAATTACCTCAAGGAAAACAACTCTAAAGAAAAATCTGTGAAATCATAGCTTTACCTTGGGAGACTTAAGCAGGTCTGCTGTCCTTTCTTCTGTTAAGGTGAGCAGGGTTAACTTTGTTTCCTCCACTGAGGGATGTTTGGGGGGGCGAGGTGGAGGATGCAAGGGAGAGCTTTCATATCTTCGCATCATGTAGTATTGTTCTTCTGTAATCTCTTCTACCAGAGTCCTGACTAGAAATGATTCTGTATTCCTAGAAAAATTATTAACTAGCTGAACAGTCATATTCAAGCGGCCAATTGGAATTTCCCAACATTCTCTGGGGTTGGCAAAGTCACTTATGAGTAGGTAAGAGTCTGTGATATCTTCCTCCAACTGCAGTCCTGGGGTAGCAGCCAAAATGTCCTCTTCAAAGGAAAGATCTCTCACAGACACCTTCACATTGAAGGGCAAGCGGAACTGTTTACAAAGCTCAGAAATCTGGTACTGTTTCTTATCATGAATCACCTCTACAAAACCTCCTTCCATGTACAAAGGGAGCTGTGCTGCCTCATAGGACTTTCTGAGGATTTTTTCACAGGCCAGAACGTTCACCACTTTTTTTATTCCCTCACAGAGGACTTCAGTAGTCTCTGAGTGATGCACTAGAAACTGGTCCCCAACAGATACAGAGGAAAGCTCTTCATGAAGGGGATGAAAGGCTTTGGTGGCCACCACGTGGAGGGGCTCCTTTTCACTCTTTGCTATCTCCAGGTCATAGGCAGTTGGGAACTCCCGAGGTCTCCGCTTGAACTTGCCTTTGTAGCTAGTGGGGATCAAGAAGTGTCTTTTAGGGAAATTGCTCCTAATTTCTGAAGCTAAGATCCTTGATGCCTGATACTTTTTGTGGATCACAATGGTTTTCCCAGGCTGTAAAATATTTCTGAGCAGCTGATTTCCTTGAGGTGCTTCTATGACTTCAGCCACAATAGGAAACTCTTTAGTGGTCATTTCCAAAAGATCTTCTGTAGATAATAGCTGAAGAAACCAGTTAGCATCATAAGAATCAGTAATGTCTTTGACTTCAACATCTAAACTAGGAAGAATGCGGACAATATCCTTTCGAACTGAAAAGAAAAGAAAAAAACAACACTATGATATTTCATGCATCAAAGTCTTTTCTGTAATATGTAGTCCCACTGCCATAATTTTAATTTAGAAAAAAAGAATTCAAATAATTATAATAGAACATTCCTTATATGTGACTTCCCAGTTTTTAAAATTTAAATGGAAGAAATCATATATAAGCAAATGCCATCATATGTAAAAACCAACCCTGTAAACCAATGCTCAGTTGAAATCCTATGAATCTCACCAAAATCACACCCATCCTCCTCACTTCTAATTAAGGGCAACTACCCTTCTGATTCTAGTGTCAATTATTCTTATGTTTATACTTATAGTTTTATGACACATAACATGCATGAATATAGATATCTATGTAAATATACATGCAAATGTCTATGTAAAAGTGATATCACCATATCATTTTAAGTTGTGTTCTTAAGGCCCAGACTTTACACTTGAAATTATTACAGAAAAAAGTTTGATACTTCAGACAAAAATCCTTCACATTTAAGGCTCATTTTTTTTTCTCTCCTGCTAGGGATCAAACAAAGACATACATTCTTTACATAAAATCCTATCCTCGGGGTTAGAAGTGTTGCAGAATCACAAGGTGAAAGGTACTTTAGATTTATATATGAAAACAGATATGAAAATGCAATCATTTTCTGACGACAATGTTACTTCTTTTTCCACCAGTGCTATGTTTCACCTGGATAGACAAAGAGTGCTGCAGAATGGGTCACAGAGGAACCATCAGGAGCTCAGATAGTCTGGTGGGTGCTTATAAATGCATCCCTCGGAACAATGTTCTTTCCAAGAAGTCTTTCTTTGAGACTATAGGGCCACTTAAAGAATTGTCCTTAAATTACCTCCTTTCCAGATACTGCCCCATAAAGGGTCTTGAATTAAAAATAAGCTTATATGTTAATGCTAACAAGATTTTATAACAGTTTATGAGTTTCTTGACAATTTTCTAACACAAGTTTTACAAGCATTTTCATGATCCAATTTTGTTTCCCAATTATCTACTGTCTAACTGTTAGTATTCTTTCTTCTATGTTTTTGAAAGGAACAGTTTGGAAAAATTAAACACATAAGTTGCTCTTGTAAAACACCACTTATGTCATTTGAAGTCATTACTTTTTAAAAAATATTAATTGACTAATGTTTTGTGATATTTGGGATTTGAACTCAGGACCTCACACTTGCTAGGCAAGCATTCTGCCACTTAAGCCTCAGCCCTTTTATTTGTATATTGTTTTTGAGATAGGATATTGATAACTTTTCCCAGTCTATCCTTGAACTGCCCTCCTACCTCTGCCTCTGGAGTAACTGGGATTACAGACATGCCTAGTTACTTTTTATATTATTAACTGTTAAGCATCAGAAAACCCTAACTCTATAATTTGTGTCCTATTACTTATCTATTCTGTATAAGAGTTTGTGAAGACACAAAATGAAAAAGAATTATTTCATTTTTCTTGAGAAGAAAAAATAAAAATCAATGATTGCCTATTTACTGAAGTTCATAAATTTAATTTTTAGAAAAAAAGAGGTAAATTAAGAAAAAAATCATTTTTAGAAAGTTTATCAGATCCTAAACATTGAGGTTGTTCTCACAGATTTCTCTAAGCCCTGAGGTGATTTTAGAAACTAAAATCTTGCTACTTGGATCAAAATTCATGAGCTTAAGAATTCCAGAGCCAGCTGCAATGGGCATGGTAGACTTGCTGTTCCTCAAATCTAGGGAACAGCTAGAGTGATACAATAGATGCCATCAAGGACTTTATAGGCTTTCTGAATCAGTCCATCAGAAGTCCATCAGAATGTCAGGCCCTAATGCAAGATAGATCCCAATCTATATTTGTGTGTGGTTGATGCAGTGGGCCAGGAATAGCCTTATTACATTTGGAGGACTTCATAGCTACCTGCCAGAGAAAGCCTCAGGGTCAGGCTATCTAACGTCTGTGTTCAAATTTTCCATATTCAATTAGTGACCTACCTTTAATACTTCCATTTCTAACTCTTCTGAAGTAATGCTAGCCTTTCTCATTTTACATAACATATCAACAGCATTTGACAAAGTAGATTTGATTCCCTCCACTTTGATATTTACTTTTCCTCCTTTCTTGTGACTCTTCTGAATTTCTTTTCTGGTTTCTTCCCTCTGCACACCACCCACAACTCACACACACGCCTTTTGGTTTTCTTCCTTCCTCTATCTACACTCACGCCTACAGGGAACTTACACAGTCTCATGTCTTCAAATATCATCTATCTGCTTATGACTCCCCAAACTATAGCGCTAGCCAAATCAGTCTCCTGAATTTTACATGTCTATTTAAGACCTTTGCTTGGACCTCTAGTAAATGTCTTAAAATTAAAATGTCCAAACTGAAATGTGATCTTCCCTCCAAAACCTGGACTGCCTGGGTCTTTTTCCATCTCAGTTATTGGGAACACCTTTCTCCTTGTTCAGTCCACAGAGCTAAGACATACTTAACTCCCCTCTTCTAATACCTTCTATCAGGACTACTATGGTTTATACCAATTATTTCTTATCTGGTTCATCCTGATGGCTTCCTAACTCTCCTTACAGTTAGATCTCAAAAGAGTGGCCAGAGATTCTCTTCAAAATGCTAAATCAGGCCAGCGCTCGTGGCTCATGCCTGTAATCCTAGCAACTCAAGAGGAGATCAGGAGGATAGCCATACAAAGCTAGCCCAGGAAAGTAGTTTGTGAGTCCCTATCTCGAAAAAACCCTCCACAAAAAAGGGCTGGTGGAGTACCACAAGGAGTAGGCCCTAGGTTCAAACCCCAGTACTGCCACAACAACAACAAAAGTGCTAAATCAGTTGTAACTACTTTCTGTTCCTAGGCCCACAGTGTTGATCATTTTCACTCAGAATAAAAGCCAAAGTCCTTACATGGTGCATGTTATCACCTGAATCTTATCTTCTGATATACTGCCTCACTCTAACTTACTGTCCCTGTCCTCCTGGTTATCAGTCAGATTTTTGCATGCACTGTTTCTTCTGCCTACTATATCCTTTAGCCAGGTATATTCATGACCAAGTCCCCTTTCTCTTCATGTCAGCTTAAACATTCTCTTGTCAATAAGATCAACTCTAAATGTTCTATTGAAAATTGTAACCATCTCTGCCCTTTGTCCTTCAGGTTTCTCTATTTTCCATGTTATTCATTACCTTTAATCATTCCACATAATGTGCATATTTATTGTAACATTTTTTATTATTTGTTTCCTCATATACAACCAGGAATAGAGGGCTTTTTTTTTTTTGTTTTGTTTTGTTTTGTCCACCAATATCTCTAGTGTTATAATGGTGCCTTGATCATAGTGTATTCAATAAATGAATGAAAACAATTGTAAGCACAATGTATATGTATGATCATTAAAAAGAAGTGATCCAGTACACAAGTATAGTTCCATATGAAATTTGATTAATGAAAAAACCTTCCACTGTTAAAACTCTTACTATACATCATTGCAGACATTATAGATTACATTTAAAACATGTCACTTAAAGTTGTAGTTTGTCTTATTCAATGAGCTATTCAATGCAATAAATACTTGTTTAATTCCTACAAAAGAGTCCAATATTAGTGTATAAAAGATAGACAAAGTTTTTTTACCCATGATTTTATTCTTTAATAAAAGAGACTAGTTAAAATCACAATGTGCAATGCCCAAAGATACACAGAAAAAGCACATCCAGTACACTTTTAGACCTGTCAGAGAATTGAGATCACAGGTCAAAACACTACCCCTAAACTAACTAGTATTACCTGGTATAAAGAGTCACAGTTTACTGCAGCCAAAGCCACTACTGCAATCCAGCTGAAAAAACGTATAAAGAGTAGTTGATTGATTGCTGGAAATTAAGTGTAAACTAGCTTCAGAGGTAAACTCCAGGGCACTGTGCTTAAAGGACCTCCCACACATTCTTCAGTCTTTCTTCCCGAAGCCCCACCAGGTTCTCAGGATGAAAACTAGACAAAAATCCCCTTGTGCTTCTGGAAGGTTGGGGGGAAAAGCAACCATTCTAAAATACACACAGAGTACTCTGATCTTTTTTTAAAAGGCCTGTCCCAAGGAAAACTATTTCACCACAGCCTGACCAACTTGTTGGGTTTTTACCAGAGCCTAACCAATATAGAATAAGGGAATTACCCAACTCCAGCCACCTATACATGACCTGTTACATGGGGAAAAGGAAATGCCTAACTTCAGCCCCCTATATACTTCTATAGAACAGAGGGGAAATACCTAACTCCACCCCAGCTAGCCATTCTGTCTCCCCTAAAGCAGAGAAAAAAGCTGAGAAGCACTTAGATGCACAGGTTCACTAAATTATTAAAACCTAATTATAAGGATATAAAATACTCTCCCCAGCCAAAAAAAAAAAATTATGACTACATCAATGGGACTTCTGTATAATAATTGGATTCTAACTGAAAGAATGGCATGTGAAACCCTATGTAAGAAGGAGTCTCTAGGGAAATACACAAGGAAGACAGAGACAAAACAAGGAACTTTAGCTACTGACACCTATAGTTATAGTGAATATTTAAACGAGCCTACATCCTAGCCAGATAAACAGAAAACCTCACACTAAAGGACTATTTCCTTAATTTCTTTTAACTGTCCAGCTTCCCACAAAAACATTACAAAATTTGTTAAAAAGCCAAAAAGCACAAAACTCAGGAAAAAAAGCAGGTATCAAAATCAACTTCAGATAATTGCAGAAATTTTGGAATTACAGCCCATTTAATGTATGCTTAACATGCTAAGGGCTATAACAGAAAAAGGGACATCAAAGAAGAAAAGATGGGTAATGTAAGCAAAGAGATAGAAAATGTAGGAAAAATTAACATGATTGAAACAGAAATGAAGAATGACAAAAGAAAAAAATATCCAAAGTATAAGACAGAAGTCTCCAAAATTAATGAAGCACAGAGAACACTAAACACAATAAAT